CAAAGAAGTATATCTTCTTACGCGCGTACATAAGTACACGCACCCTTCTTTTTGACGATCATAAGTGTACATTGTGTTACATATATGATTAAATGATTTTTGACTTTTATATGTCATAAATAAGTTTGTGCTTGTTGGTAGTATAAGCCAGTGTTTCCCAAACTTTTTTGTACCATGATCCACTTTCTACTAAAATTCTTAAGTAACATACATAATTCATATATTAAAAAAATTGATTGTCCACTTAAGAAATTTTGTTGTTAGAAATGATAGGTTTTAGGAAGAAATCACTAAGAACTTGTTAACGAAACAATAAGTAAATTTTCAAAAACAAGTAAAAACTAAAATTCAAATTCCTTAATTAATATAGTACAGGTTTTCTTTGTTTTGAAAAGCAATTAAGTGAGATCCTTTGCTTAGATTTTATATTAGGTTCCAATTTGGTTAACTCTAGTCTCAAGTCTCCACGTTGTATTATATCCAGCTGATTTCGATAGACCCCTTAACTATCAAATTGCCCCCCTTTGCGTGTGCTCCACGTTGGGAAACACTGGCATAGACAGTACTGTGTGTATTGTGTTTGTTGAGAGTAGATTAACGCCCGAGTCGTCTTTTTGGGTCTAAGACATGGGATTTCCTCACGATGATATCCCTTAACATGAGCAAGTGCTAATGATGCACATAAATCAAAATCCTATCTTATTTAACCGAACGATACTCTTAGAGTTCCACCTAACCTCTTTACAGTGTTCGTGGTTTTCCTTATTACCGTGATATAATTAATCTCTCTATTAGGGGATAGTTATATAATATTTTTTTAAACTAATTATTTAAAATTAGCCAGTATTATTTTTTATGCCGTAAGTATATAATAATAAAAAAAACACTTTTGCTGTGAATGGAGTACCAGTGCTTAATAAAACTCTCTAGGACTTATATAATAAAGTTTATCTCAAATAAAAGTTAATTTCCTAAAAACTTAAGATTTGTTCTAACGAAAATTAATTAAGAGGCGTCCTCCACGAATTAAATGGATATTAACACAATTATTACAGTGGAAACCGTTCATTAGCTGCGTCAATGAATTAGTCTTTCACGGATGAATAATGATCCGTGAATCAAATCAACTTAATATCGTTTGATTTTAAACAGGTAAGAATAGTTTTGAGCAACTCCTATACGATTATCCATGGTGTATTGAATATTGTTAGTTATTGTGTTCTACAAAACAATGAAGTAATAAAAAAAAGAATAAATAATATCACTAATCGTATAACTCGAGACAGAGAGAGTTAAGGTTTAATAAATATAATAGATAATTAGCTTAGGTTTTAAATACCTTTTATATAAAACTTATTAAAGAAATCTAAATTTATGATATATATTTTTTAAGTTCTTCTGGCCATAATAAACTTCCTCAGAGTTCAAAGAATGAATAAAAAAAATACTCAAATGTCCAGCTATCTTCGAGTTTTGCACTAAGCAACATATTTTGCAATTTTTTTTTATATGTTGTACTTCTTTAGGCGCGTTATGAAAAATTGATGAGAGTGAAATTTTACGATTGCGCGCGCACCTATGACACAAAATTGGCAGTGTGATATAGCGTGCGCGAGCGAGATGGGAATAAGACAAACTACAAGTAAAAGAAATAGAATATGCGTGAAGCTAACTTCACGCATATTCTAGCTTAGCAGCTTAACAAGAATTTTGAATGACCATGACAATTGACATCTGACAATGACATTTACCTTTTAAACAAATATAGGAGTTTTAATTATTGTTTAAAATTAATAATTATATACCTAGTTATTTTCATTATACAAAATATTTGTGAAATAATATAAAATATTTGTGAAAAAACTGTGCTAACCTTCCTGAGTGCTTCAATACAATTGAGGTTAACTATCCGTATGTATTATCGAGTATTATTGTTGATTAAAACTGAAACATGAACCATTATTCATTGCTTTTGTTTATTGCGTTTGTTACAGCAACTTTTTAGAAATATTCTACGACCCTATATATCAATAATTGAGAACAAAGATTTAAGCACGAATACTAATAAGGAGAAAATGAAGGCTTGGAGCGATATAACAGAGAAGTAAACATTTTAATAAGTACCTGCATCTCAAAAAAATGACCACATTATTTAATCAAAACATCAGATTTAATCTAGCAAATATAAGGACAAGAGACAAAAAACAATTGATGAATCAGTGGAAGTGCACTAAATTGAATACAAAAAAAGAGTTGTCATCTTATCGCCGTGAAACATCAAAAACTGGAGGTGGAACAAAGCCACCATCACCTTCTCGAGACACAATGGTTTGAAGTAGATTTCAATGAATTTGATTGTGATGGTGTCGAGGTAGGAATGTTAATTATAAATATGATGTATGGTGATGTTCAAGGTTCAACCTTTCAAGCATAGGCATATGCTTACAACATTACTTTATTCCCCCTACAGGGTAGTTAGAGATATTGTAATACCTCAAAACATCCATGTTGCACTTGTAGTACCGAAACTCTGTCCTGCCAGAAGTGAGCCCATTCCCACTTATAATGGACAGTGGGTATAATACACCTTAATACCTGAGTGCGAACCACTCACCATGATACTTAAATTAATAGATGTTATTTATATATTTCAGGTTATTACAAATAAAATCATTTTGGAAACAATTGATATCCCAAAAGCAAATAAAGCCAACAATGACAAGGTAATAAATCAGTTTTGACATAACTTGAATACTAAAAAAGCCAAACAAAGGTGTGCACAACAGTGACAACATAACTTAACAATTTCATTATTTTGTAGGATTAAAGAAAGGTTAAAGAAAATCATGTCGAACTGAACAACAAGAATCCCCAAACAACTCCAAAGAAACCTACAAGGAAGACACCGGTATTATATTTAAATTATCTCTATCTCTAAATAGAATAAAAGAAAGTTGCTATCCAGGTCTGTAGCATGTGCTACAAATTATATTATTAACACATTTATATAATTATATTAATATAAATGTGTTAAAAATTTATAATATGAATTATAAAAAAATTTAAGTTTTGCATGGACAGAGCTTAAATTAATATTCTCTTATTTGTTGCAGAAAGCAAGTAGTTTTGGAGAAGCCTCGTAGATGCACAACCAAGTAATGATTAATTTAAAATTACAAACCGAAATTCTGATGAAGACATTAGAGTCACTTAAAAATAAATAGTATAATGAAATAAAAATGTTTTAAAGATAAATAGTGTTTTATTTGTTTAATGTAAGAGAATAATAATAAATATTTATTTAATTAATTTTTCAAATGTAAACTGAACTTTATTGACTTTAATGACTCCTTTTCCAGTCTTTGATTATTTAATTGTAATTAATTATTTGCATGCAATCAAAAACTATTTTTAATAATGCCAAAGAAGTATAACTTCTTACGCGCGTACATAAGTACACGCACCCTTTTTTTTTTTATATTTTGTATTTACAAGCCCTTGTATGGTACACTAGTTTAGTCACATATGAACTATATTTATTCTGTACATATAATTGTTTTGCACTTTATGGACGCGTTTTAGGCGAGACGAGTCTGCGCAAATATTAAAATACCGTCACATCTCTGATTGTAATTTTAAAGTTTTAGAATTTGTATCTAATAAGTCTTGTTTCTATTTTTTTACTTGTGTTTAACACCATTAATTTATAAGCTGGGTGATTATATTATTGCATTAGTTAGTATATTTTCTTATACTAGTCAATGTAACGTTCTTAACGAGAAATAAATATCTAAATACCCAGATAGCAGACAATCTACGTATATATATATTAGTATAAGATCCCGATATACAACGACCTTCACCGAGATGCTTATTTAATGAAACGTATTTTATATTTAATTTAATATGTCAATAAATATAATCCATATGGGTTGCCTAGCAAATTTCGGTCCAGAGTATGTTTAATTAATATTTAAAAAAAAAAATTTTTTTTATAATTTGCATGTAGTAAATTTTTTAAATTTTTTTCAATCAATATTTTTAATCAGGGTAGTATTATATATGTATCACTATAACTTCCTTTTTTACTAAAGATGTATAGGGTCACTGACCCAATAGATGACCAAGCACCAATACCTGACCAAAATGTACCAATAATAAAATTTTAATCAATTATGGCAATTTCCGATTGTAGTCGTAGTTTTTTTTACTAGGGCAACACTTTATCTGTCATTTCATGCACGAATATGTTTCCTATCGGTGGAAAAAAGTGACATTTTTCTGCTGCAAAGATGGCTCCGCGTAAGTGCTCTTATTTTTGCTAAGACTTTAAATTTGTTCTTGCTTAGGTAATCCTAATCCATCTTCAATGTTTTTGATGTTAATTGATCAACTATACGTCAGAGTAGGTCATGGGTTATTTTTCTAGCTACCCCTAACAATTTTTATGACGTTTCTTGTGTAACACGGTTTTTTTAATGATGGTCATCTATTGGAACAACGAAAATGCAATATTGCCTAATGCTGACCAGTATGGTCAGGTTATGGAACCGACTAAGTTCAACCTATTTATTGGAATTATATAAATATCAAGCTAGGTAACTTATATATTTAATCCCAACCAGGGCAATGTTTTCAATAAAACTTGAGCGGTCAAGCTTTGGCGACGCTTTTAAGTACTAACCTAAAGCTGTCCACCTTGCATATTATCCTAAATACTATTTGATCGAAGTTGAGTCTTAAATTGGGCAATAAATTTAAAAAAGCTTAATCTTATACGCGACTAACTAGAAACTTCTAAAGGCTGACCAGACTGGTGCTATGGATTTAACTTATGGTTAGGCTTTGTCCTTGAATACTGTAGTAATCTTTAGCTGGACTCCTTGCCTTTTTTAACTGGTGAGATAGGTGGTGGTTGCTGCTGGTGATGGCTTTTTGTATTCGTTTTAGGAAAGAAAAACCCCGAAAATGCGAAAATTTTGCGTTATCCGGATTCCGCAATGCAAGCTGCTATCGCTGCAGTACGAGAGGGACGATTCAAGGTTAGAGAAGCAGGACGTCATTTTGGCGTGCCTCATAGCACTCTTATAGATAAAGTAAAAGGCAGAGTTCCAGAAGTAAGGAAAATGGGACGAGATACTTATTTCACAGAATACGAAGAAAAACTTTTGGTGAAATATATCATTGCCAGTGCTAAGAAGGGCATACCGGTAAAGAGAAATACATTGTTAGAAACGGTAAAAAAAATATTAGATGACGATAAGAGGGTGACGCCATTCAAAAATAATCGGCCGGGCAAGAAATGGGTTACATTATTTTTTAAGCGACACCCGGAAATAACTGAAAAAAAAGCTGAAGGTATCTCCACAGCCAAAGCTAATGTATGCGAAAACGACATTAAACGCTGGCACAGATCCCTTGAAGAGTATTTGGTTGAAGAACATTCGTTGGATATATTAGAAGACCCCAAACGCATATTTAATGCAGACGAGTCTGGATTCCAGACATGCCCAGAGTCAGGAAAAGTGATAGGACCGGTCGGCATGAAAAACTTCTATGAGATAAAATCTGGAAGAGAAAAGGAACAAGTGACTGTCATGGTAGCTATCAATGCTGCAGGTCAAGTAGTCACTCCAATGATAGTATATCCGCTAGTGAGAATTTCAAAAGAAATAGCAATAAATGTTCCAGAAAACTGGGGGATTGGCAAATCCCCGAAAGGTTGGATGACAGGACCTTTATATTACGAATACATCGCTAATATCTTCGACCCATGGGTAAAGGCGAACAATATAAAAAAACCAATTTTGCTTTTAATAGATGGACATAGCTCTCACTTGACATTGGAAGTGTCTCAGTACTGCGCTGAAAATCAAATTTTAGCCTACGCCCTCTTTCCCAATTCGACGCATATTTCTCAGCCGGCGGATGTATCCGTATTCAAATGCCTGAAAAGTGGTTGGAAAAACACTGTATGCGAGTTCAAAGACAGAACAGGGAATAGACAGATTACTCGTGCTGGATTCGCACCATTACTAGCAAAAGTTTTTAAAGACAAGGTGACTCCAGATGTCGTTGCGAATGGATTCAGAAAATGTGGGATCTATCCATTTGACGTCACAGCCATAGACTTGACAAGGTGCATGGATAATGACACTCGAAGAACTGCACCTGCATCGGTTCCACCCCGTGAGATTGGAGTAGAAACACTGCTGCTATTTGAGTCATTTATGAGACAAGGCCGTGTAGAACAATTTAGACGCAGCAATGAACAATGGGAAGGGGAGGAGACGGCAAAGGAGTTATTTTATGTATGGAAAAAGTTTCGCCAGCACTGTTTGTCGGAGACTTCCCCATCCAGTGCAGAAACACCAAGGCTTCAATCGATAACATCATTACCGCAGAAGACACTACCGGAGGAGATGAACATTTCTACCAGGAGCAGTACTCCAGTCTCGAAGACACCAGGTGTACCAGAAGAAACCAAAACTTCCACAATATGTAGTACTCCAGTCTTGATGGCACCAGATCTTCCAGAAGAGGGCGAAACTTCCACCAGATGTAGTAGTAGTACGATCTCTATAGTACAATATTTTCCAGAAATGGAAGAAACTCCCACCAGATCTTATACTTCACTCTCAAAGGCACCACATCTATTAAAGAAGTCTGAAACTCCAATCCGATCTTGTAATCGGGTCATGCCTCGGTCACCTGAAAAGCCTTTTGAATGCTATCCTCCAAAAACAAAAACATCTCCGGCAGCTCAACAGCAATCCTCTAATTCTACAATAAATCTCCTTTTGGCTGAAAAGCAAAAACAAATCAGTCCTGCTTTTGCAAACCAAATAATATGGCCCTCAGATTCTCCAATAAAAAAAACCCAAAAAGGAACGGCTCCCATTCGCCACCACTTCAAGAAAATGGCAAGATTATTGGTTGGCGAAAGAAAATGAAAAAGAGGAGCATAATAGAAAAATAGAAATCCGAAAACGTGTACGCGAAGAGAGCAAAGTCAAGAAAAGCAAACAAACTAAAATAACAAAAAAAGCAATAAAAACCAGTCAAGTAACCAATAAAATAAAGAAACGAGTCAGAGTGATTAGAAGCGACACCAGTGATACCAGTGAATTAATATCAGATGAGGAACTAGAACACAGGATAGAATTATTAAGGGACACAGAAACAGAAACTGAAAAAGAAGACGAGGAAGAGGCAACAAAAAGTTTTGAGGTGGGGAATTTTGTAATATTTGTATACGAAGGTGCATTCTTTGTTGGCAGAATCGATTCAATTTGTCAAGAGGGAGCATTGATAAATTCCATGCATCAGTCACTCAAAAACTGGAAGTGGCCCGAGAAAGAGGATTTGATTTTATACCAAATTGATGATATTAAAGAAAAAATTAAAAATCCAATAATACTACACCAGAACCGGGGTCTGTATCATGTTCCCGAATTTGAAAAATATAGAGAATATATCTGAAACAACAGCTTTCCTCCTGGTTGAATGCTGATAATAATAAAGAAAAATATAATATTTGTGTGTCAAATCATAATTTTTTCTTTAAAAATACCTTTTGTAACAATATTATGGGTGATTTAGCAATTCGCCCTTTTGAATTTTGCCGCTTTTAAGTGGTCAGGTTTTGGTACATCTGATGGTCAGTTATTGGGGTGATGTGGTCAGCTTATGGTGTATTTTGAAATTTTAACTTTAAGCCGGTGTAAAAACATATATATATAGATATATCTTTGCCTAGTTCATTTAAATACGTAATAAAGAATAATTATCCCAAAATTGTTATAGCTCAAATTAATAAAACTTTATTTATGGAACATATTAGCAACGAATCCGCTTTACTGGTCAACTATTGGGTTAGTGACCCTATATACTTTAGTGTCACATAAAAAATATACACATAAATAATTAATTGATTAAAAACAACCTAACGTTAGCATATTATATGGGCTTCATACTTTCGATTGGTATAGAATTTATCTAATAATCACCGGTGAAATGTTTGAAAAAATATTTTTTTTTAAATATTAATTAAAATACTCTGGACTGAAATTTGCTAGGCAACCCATATGGATTATATTTATTGACATATTAAATTAAATATAAAATACGTTTCATTAAATAAGCATCTCGGTGAAGGTCGTTGTATATCGGGATCTTAGACCATATTATGTCATTTTAACATATTAGCCATTGCTGGCAGTGCCTCGCGCGCTCTCCTATATACTCAGAGAAGCACCATTTACGCGTGTCTTGCGCACCCTAAACACTATTGCTTGTGAGACGGATATATTTAGTTTCACACTGGCTGACTTTTCAATAATTGCATCATTTATAATTACATATATGAAAAGGTTTAGGTTATAAGTTTTTAATTGATATGTTTAGTATAGTATAGTGATAGTATAGTTTTCTATTGTATTAGTATTAAGTTACTGTACAAATAGGAAATAAGAAAATAAATAAATATTACTAGGACTTTTTTTACAAATTTAAACTCCACTTAATTACATTATTTAAGTATTGTATGTATGTATATTGTATGCATCTACAAACTTTAACTGAAGTGTAGGCAGAGACAACTGTTCTCCACTTGCTACGGTTCTGATACATTTCTCGTTTCATCCAATTTAATACCATTTACCATGCATGCTCGTCGGTTATGGATACTGTTGATCTGTTCCTCCGAGATTTGGTCCAGTATGACAAGTTCTACCCGACCCCACCTTACCATCAAGGATACCTTGTATATCTTACTAATAAGCAGCATTTCATCCATTTGACATGCCAAAACCACTACTACTATTTAAATGAATGTTGGTGAGCTGCCAACTGAGATTGTGCATATTAGAATATCCGTATTTTATGCACAATCGTCGCTCAACAGAACTTTGTCGGATTTCGGGATCATTGTACAATTTTCTTGCCATGTTTTCGCTTTGCAACAAACATTCTACACGCTCTTAAAAATCTATGCATTGCTCTAGCCTATATGTCAATAGCCTGGTCGGATCACATGGGAATTCATCAAGAACATTCTTTTCATTGTGTACTCGTGGCCTTACAAAGTTCGTTCGAGCATTTGGAAATCATTCCCGATACAGTGCTGCAATTCGAATGCCGTTACCTCTCTCGATTAAATGGATTAAGAAAGTCAGAACTAGTGGATATCTGAAACATAATCTAAGATCACTGAACGAAGATATCGAAATGTTAATTAAAAGGCATGTCAAAAACCATTATTTACATTCGATCACGCCAAAAAATACTATCCAAAAAACAGATTCATAAAATTCCTTTATTTGGAGTTTAGGTACCAAAAAGAGTGGCAAAGGTGTATTTCTTTTAATTTTTTTAAGTTTCGAATATTTCAAAAACCAAAAGCCTTTTACAAAACATAAAACATATTCTTCTGAACCACCACAAAACCCCTACCATTTTATCTAATCATTACGTCACACCCTGTTTATAGAGATATCCGTTTAAGAATTATATTTAAAAGTTTAGCACAAACCAGAGACAACATTAAATATATAGGTAGCTTTCATAAATCACTGTTAAGCCAAATTCAACATGAACTTTTCATTTATTCAAGCTTAGACCACTGGAAACTTCAATAAAAGCTTCATTTATGGAATCCCAAAGTGAAAAGCTTCGGTAAACAAATATTTGAAGGCATTCCCTGTTTTAAAGTACTTGTGTTTTATGAAGAATATATTTTTATTACATAGATGAAATATTTGATCGATATTTCCAAAGTCAAAATAACCCTCTAAATAACAATGAAGTGTACAAGTACTTACGGTAGTTGAATTGATTAAGAATTATTTCTTACATAATGCTTAGTGGTACTTAGAGTCAAAAATTATGAGTTAACGGCACCTTAATTCAAAATAATTAAAAGTAAATAATGTATTTTTATTGTTAATCAAATGTTATTACTAAACGAGACATTTAATAGAAAAATATATATAAAATGGGCAGGTCTGAAGTACATAAGGTCTGACTATAAAAATAATTACAAATTCTCTTAGTAAAAAATTCCCCAAATATCAGTTTTGATTATAGACCACAAGCCCATGAACAAAAAATACCTGTGAAATGACCCAACGTGAATTACGCTTAGAAGGCTGTTACTATATCTGAAAATAGCTCTGAGCACTATGCCGTCATTTCTGAGCGGTACATGTGAGTACGTGAGTGAATGGACTTTCTCAGGTACAATTGGGGAATTTCGACTAATTATTAATATACGGCTTTGTTATAAGTGTATAGATGATTAAAAATAAATGTCGAAAAACCTAGTGCCGTACTAAAGTGATGGTGCCGGAAGTCGGTGCAAATTTTTAATTCGACGACAGTTGCAGAAGCAATATAGGTCATTTATTACTGTACGGCATTTGTGTGATTCCTTTTGGACACATATACAGATACTTTACCCGTAAACGCCGTACATATTTCCAGCGGAGCGGTCGAAAGCCAAGGGTCGGAACTCTACCCCTACACCCATATACCCTAATTTTTTTGGTCATTGTAAAATTCCGAAATTTTGATGATTTTTCAAATATTCCTAAAGTAATAAAAGGAGTAATATTTTCAAAGATTATTGTTATTTTATATGTAAAAAATATAAATAAACAAAAAAACCAGATGCCGTACATTTTGCTACAGATTATTCTTTACAGCTGATAAAAACTTCGGCGACGTTTGAGGTGTCCCTTAAGGTCATTAATAACTGTACGTATCTGAGTATACTACCAGAGGGCGTAAAGTATATTTACAGCCTTATCGTACGAGCAGAGAGAGGTAAGGGAAAAGTATTTTTAACAAAAATAAAAATATAATACAGGGCGTCCCAAAGTTATGGGACATGAAGGGAAAGTACCTTTAATTTTATTTATTTATTTATTTAATAACAGAACAATGGCCAAACTTAGACTAAAAACAATAAACAATACAATAAAATACAATTAAGATTTACAATACACGGTAGCATTACCCTCTTATCCCCTCCAGGTACACTCTGAAAGCCCAGTATACCACCCCCATAAGCTACCCAAACAGGTCGCTCTCCGGTGAAGAGTCGAGAAACCCATTAAGCAGTGAGAGTAGCCGGGGAATGGGCGCTTGTTGTCGCTGGACAGTGCGAGCCGAACGCACAGCGAAAAGGTTATGTTTCCGGCAGCGGCAATATTTGTCCGGGACGTATAGCCTCATGATCTCTCCCAGCAAGTATGCGCTTTCCGTTTCATTCTTAATTACACTCAAACCAAACCTGACCACCGAAAAATCCCTACGAAGCTCTAATGAGTTATACCCTAACACCCCCATCAAGAACTTAGTAGGGTAGAGGTAAGGAAAGAAATTGTATCTTCTTTTATACAGATTTCTCAGGAACTTCTTTTGAACTCGTTCAATCATATCCCCATAATACCTTTCATAAGGGGACCATATGACGCAGCTGGTTTCGAGAATTGGCCTTACTAATGATGAATATAGCACCCTAGTGGCAGTGTCCGTCAGACCAGCCGAATTTCGCAGGACAAACCCTAATCTCCTAAAAGCAGCATCCGTAATCGTCCGAATATGCTCCGCAAATGAAAGATCGGGTACAAACAGGACACCCAAGTCGCGGACTCTGTCTACGCGCCTAATAACTTTCGATCCTATGCTATAGTCGCAGAGTATTTTATTCGGAGAGGCACTAAAGGTCATCACTTCACATTTGTCATAGTTGAATTGGAGTTTATTTAATTCACTCCAATGCAGCAGTTCATCCAAATCAAGTTGCATACACAGACGATCATTGTCAGTCTCAACTATTTTAAATACCTTAACGTCGTCAGCAAATAATAGTATTTTGGAATATTTGATAACGCTTGGAAGGTCGTTAATCATTATTAAAAATAGCAACGGTCCCAGGTTTGAACCCTGGCTAATACCAGAAATTGTTGGATAAGGCTGCGAGATATATTGTCCATATTTAACATATTGGTTACGATTTGATAGGTAACTAGAGAAAAACTTAAGCAGAATAGGTCCACACCCAATTGCGGCCAACTTTTGGAGAAGAATGTCGTTGTCTACTCGATCAAACGCTTTGTGAAAATCCAAATATACTACATCCACCTGACACCGCCTATCAATTTCACGCGATACTATGTCAGCCAAAGTCAATAGATTAGAATTAACTGATCTGCGTGGAAGAAAAGCGTGCTGGCAAGGAGTGATGTGGGGAATGCATTTAGGCAACATTAGCGAGTGTAAGGACATTTCAAACACCTTCGCCAGCGTACACAGAATCGCGATAGGCCTGTAGTTTTCAGCTCTGCTTCCACAATTAGCTTTAGGAACTGGGGTCACGCGGGATGTCTTCCATAACGTTGGGTAGACCCCTGAATATAAAATAATATTGAAAATATGCGATATAGGCAATATTAAATATTCTGCCAGTCCTTTAATTA